TGTCATTGTGTGGTCCCTTCAGGGATCCATGCAGACTCCAGTGAAGGACCAATAGGGGCCACTTTCAACTTCATACTCATATACCCATTCCAGTTTAAGACATGAGGAGGAAGTGACTGTAAGTGGCTCAATCATAGTCAATGAGCCCAGGAGGGAAAACACAGCAAAGCGTGTTGGTCTGTTTGGGAGTTGATAGTACAGATTTATTTCCTACAAGTGTGTATATGCGTGTGTGAGACCAACAAACCAGAATATTTAATGTGTGTGTTGTAGGTGTGCAGCAGTAGTATGTGTCAGTTCTGTATAATTCACACACAGTGATGTGATGAGGAAAGGAACCGACACAGCCACTTTTTAACACAGCCCTTCCTGTGCCAACGCTAATGTGTCTCCGCTGTGTTTGTGTGTCTGTGCATTTAAATGTACATACATGAGCTTGTTGTTGTATACCTGTTGTGGCTGTGCTGCTGCACGCCTGTGCTTCAGCTATGAATTATAAACAATCTGAAGGCAGAATACATCAGAAGGAAGGTGCGAGAGCGCGCCCTCTCAGTCTGACTCCTACAGCGTCTGCTAATGAACTGCATCTCCATCCCTCGTGACACAGTAAGGGTGATAATGACTTAGACCACATGCAGAGCAGGTGTGTGTCTGTATTCACATTCTAAGTTATATTTAAGTAGCCAGATGCAGTGAAAGCTTTTCTCCATTAGGTGATGCCATCAGCGGGAGTTGCTCTCCCATCAAGTCGAATACAGAGCAACATTTCTTCATCCTGTCGTAAAATGTTTAATCAATTTCTTTGGCACACATGAATGTACTTAGGTAATTGCAGCATCTGTGTTTAATAACAGGTGCATTGTTATTTATACGTTATGATTATGTTACGTGTTTCAAGCGTAACTGTGCATAAACCATGTAAGTGTGTGTGTGTATTGATGGATGATATGTACTGACCAGAGCTGGGGAAGGTGACTGTCTATAAATACGTTTGAGGATCTCTGCCAAACTGTACAGTCAGCAGTGAGCAGACGAAGCTGACCTGGACTCTTTTATATTTTACAATTTCTCATTCATGCGCTCTCTTCAGCTGCAGTGACGCATGTACTATAGCCTTCCTGCACCTCGGCTCTGAAATTCTTTGATTCTCTCTGTCTCTGTTCGTCTTTTTCTCTTTTATCTGCCTTTTATCTCCTGATCTCCGCCCCGCTCTTTTTCCTGCCTTTTCTATCTCTTTGATTTTCTCTTTTGTCTTTGCTTTCTTCTGTTTTTCTATCACCTCTTTAACAGGCTCAGTTTTAACTTGCTCTTCAAGACCATCCAGTCGATTTGATTGTAAAAAAAAGCAGCATTTCTTTTGACAAAATGACAACAGCGAGAAAAGCTGTTATCGATAAATGTGACACAACAGGTGCGAATTATCAAGGATGGCTGTGGCTCAGGAGATAGAGCCAGTCATCCACCAGTCAGAAGGGCGGCGTTTTGATCTTTAACTCCTCTACTGTGGTTGTTAAAGTGTCCTTGGGCAAGATTTTGAACCCTAGATTATCCCCGAAGCATCCATTGGAGCATTTGTGTGTGTTTGATGTTAGAAAAGCTCTTCAAAGCATAGAATAAAGTGACAGAATAAAGTAGAAAAGCAGCCTTTACATTTACATTCATATGGAAATCTTCTCTGTCTGTTTGCTGTCTTTATGAGGTGTTGCACTAACAGAAAAAATAAGAAAAACTCTAAGTGCACCTTAGAAAAAAACTAGCATCTCCACTAGTTTCTGTAATTTGTATTGTGTGTGTGTGTGTGTTTGTGTGTGTGTGATTTATGCTGCCATCACGGTACTATGCAATAGTGTCTGATGGGAAAGCTGAGCAGTCATACCTGACACACTGCATGTCACATCAGGACAATGTACCCACATAGCAGACACATGTTTCTAATTACTTGCACCTTTTCCCATTCACTCCAACACGAATACACACTCCAGGTCACGTATCTCGTAGCGTTTGTGTGTGTGTGTGTGTGTGTGTGTGTGTGTGTGTGTGTGTGTGTGTGTGTGTGTGTGTGTGTGTGTGTGTCACTGGTGTCTGCCCAGCTTCTAATGTATTCTTTCCACTGCCCACTCTCTGGCACTGCAGTCCTCCCCCCATCTCTCTCCTTACCTCTACTAAATAATTAATTAGTGGCATGAGCAGGCAGCAGTTTCTTTCTCTGTGTTTAACATTTGCACACGCTCATTACAGGGTCAAATCGAACACTGACTCTGACCATGACCGGAAACATGCGTTTGCTTCAGTTAGTGTGTGTTTTACTTTGCGTGCCTCCTCCATGTTAACCTATCTTGTGTGTGAATGTTTTTATGTGCTTCTGTGCAATGAGTCCTGCTCGTCCTTGATAATAACCTTTAACATCCAAGCACCCTACTTGTACACACGCACACACACCCAGACCCTGTGCTGTTTGTGCAGGTATATTTCAAAGGGTGAGTACAGTGGGATTAACAGGGATTAAAAAGGCAGTGCTGAGTCTGAACCTGCTTTTTTACTCCCTCCATTAAACTATATGTATGCATGCTGGGGAAATCATCCTGTCCTGTTTCATCCTTCTTCAGGCTAAAAAAAACCCTCCTCTGTATGTGTAATTTTGTGTGTGTGTGTGTGTGTGTGTATTGACGGTGTCTTATGTTAGTCAGTGGGCGGATGCAGGGTGGGCTAAGAGCCCAGTGATAATCAGGCTCTTCCTCTTTTAAAATGTGTCTCTGAAAACTTCTGTAGTGTTGGCAGGTGAGTCAAGTTGGCGTTCAGCTTTTTTGTTATCTTAGCCAAACAAAGCAGCCAGCAGTATATAAATGCTACGCAGGATTTCTGCAAGTCATCAAATTATAGGAATAAAAATGAGGTGGTGCAGAGAAGGACAAGGACACTCAAGGACTCGCCTGCATTCACTGCAATATCAGGCTCCTGGTGCAGCTTTCCATCCTGCCCAACCATAAAGTTACAAATTTATATTTTAGTTATTTACAACAAGTTGCTTAATTTTTTGTGTTTTGTTGGTGCAGGTTAGGCGTCCTGGAAGCAAATCTAGGTTTAACCCTCTGAGGTCAAAGTCATCATATGTGCAAACCCCTAATCCTACTCCACAATCTAGGAGAGCAGCACCAAGTATTGCTAGCAAATGCAGTATTAAAGTAAAGCAAAAACCTAAAGTCCAAATGTATATTGAGATGATCTAAAATATAACATGTAAGTATGATTCAGATTTTGGTTATGTATTGTTTTACATGGTTAAACGCTGTAATTTTCACATCATAAAATCTCTAAAAAGCTTGTGTTTCATTTACAAAATGATGTGTAGTTAGCATAAGCATGGTTATTTTGTTGGCTTCAATCTTGTTTTATGGCACAAAACTCACATTAATCAAACTGTTAATAAAATCCACATAACTGCACTGTTGGGATTAAAACTGCTATGTTGTTTGAAGTTCACGTTTTTGATACAAGTCAGCGAGCCTGTGATTTGTACGTGCTGTCCCGTCTATTGAGACCAGAAGGTTAAACACTACATTAACCAGACAGCAGGACATGCAGCACATGAATATTATGCAAATGTTTTTAGAAATGTCATCAAATGTAACTTCCAGACACCACTTTTCTTGTTACTGGTTTATTTAATAAATTACAACATCTCAGGCCATCTGACCTTCATCAGGTTAATTGCTCAACTTTTCTCCACTGCAGCATCTAAAAAATGTCAACATTTAGTTGGAGGGCTAATGAAAACAGTCAGCCAGTCACATTAACATCATTGTGAGTGTGACATTAATCCTTACATCCATATAACTTTAAACTCTCCAAATTCAGAACACATATCAGGCTTAGTCTTTAACAACACGGTGTCAACAGGATGCAAAAGTAACCCTTGTTTGAGAAGCAAAGCAGAGAAGCTACATGTAACCCTAACCCTATAAAGACATCTGCAACCATGAATTTCCTGAAGTAAAGCATCCGTTAAAGGTGTGGGTATATTTGAAGTCTGAGAAACCAAGCCTAGGCTATACATTTTTTTTTACAACAAGCATTTGTCACAGAAAAAAAGTCCCAAGGACCCAAATACACAGCAAAAGTTTAGAGTAAAAGTAAAAGCAAGAATTATTGATACTGATGCCCACAGTTCAGAAAAAGTAACTGTAGATGAACAAAAAGCTGTAAAATTCAAAACACATAGAGGTAATAAACATGGAAAGTCATAACAGATGACGCAAATGATAGCGAGATAAAGACAAAGAATAAAGCAGGACTGTTTATACACTGAAGACAAATAGAAGAGTCTAAATTAGGGGCAAGCAAAACGCAGGTGAAGCTAATCAAGACAACCAACCAGGAAGTAAAACCAAGAACAAGAAACAACCTACCGTACAAGATTACACATACTACATGCAGTCAAAGACGACACATGGCAAACATGGCAGAAAACTGGAACACTAAAGCATAAAAACAACAATTAAATCAAAGCCAAAATCAAACCATTACCAGTTGGAAAGTATAACTGGCAAAATATAACCTAACAAAATATGCTCCCAGTTAGCTTTGTGGAAAATGTAGGATCCAATTTCATAGTAGCTCAATCTAAACTTGAAACTAAAAGTCTGGGAATCTTTTTGGAAGTCTGCTACTTTGATTTGGACTCTTTTTACTCTTCCTTTAAACACTTTGAAAGGAGGATTTCTGACATACTCCATAAAAACACATAACATCAAAAGTACTGCAGACTAAAGACACTACTTGTCTACCTTGTGTCTTCTTTGTAGCTTTAATTAGCATGCTCCAAGTGTCTGTAGATGTACTGTGCACTCTGACCTTTCCTTCATAGGTATAGTTAGATCATCTTATTCAGGGTTCTTCAGAGAATAACTTAGAGGAACAGGGAGACCCGGAATAATGAGACACTGTTACAGGTCTAGAGTTAACTCCATCTGACTTACACAATATGTCTTCTCCTAAACTAGAACTTCCAGGCCCTGCCAAGGCAGCCACTGCAAATCACCAAGAAGCAGTACATCCAAGGTATGCCACACACACACACACACACACACACACACACGCGCACACACACGCACACACACACACACACTTATTATAATAGAGAGAGAGAGCAAAAAGCCCTCCCACACACCTCAGAGAGTGACAATGATGCATTGGAAGTGCAGTGCAAGTGTATGTTAGAGAGTGAGGAGGACCTCCTTTGGAGCATGCAGAATAAGCTGGAACAAGTTGGAAAAAAAACAAACCCAAAGGACGATAAAGCAGCAGCAGCAAAGGCCTTCTTACCAAACTGTGTCAAATGTGTTTCCTACATGTTTGTGTACTACCCCCCTGCTGTAGCCTCTTCTTGTTTTGCTTGTTAGTTCAGGACTGCAGCTGTAGCACACTTCTGATTTCAGCCTGTGGATAATTAAAAATGCAGTTTGTTGCATTTAATTATAATAATAATCAGTTTTATGGACGTACAGCTCAGAAGTTTACATCCATTCATCGTGGGCATGAATGTCGCGGTAAATTGGGGTTTTTAATGATTTCTTTGAACTGCTCTTTTCCAGGGTGGAACGATAGTACCAGATACAACTTAAATGACTTTTAAAAAGAGTTGGGTGCACAAGTTTAAATTTATTTTGGATTTTCAGATAGCCGCATAGGGTGAAAAGAATATATACAAGCTCAAATTTATGCATACATTCTACACGGACATCTCATTAAATATCCTCTCCACGCCCACCAGACACTTTAGGTAGCCATCAAGAAGCTTCTGGCTTGATTCTGATTGGATATTTTTCACATCTCACATAAAACTTTTCTCCAGAAGGTGTTTGGGTTGTAGCTGTAGCTTGAAGGTATACCTTTGACCCTGTGGGAATTAGAGAAAATCTAAATAAATTCAAACTTGTGCACCAAGTCATTAAAGTTGTATGCTGTGCAATCATTCCACCCTGGGAAAAGAGCACTTCCAAGAAGTCATTAAAAACCCAAACGTAACATGACATTCATGCCAATGATGGGTGTTTGTGTAATTCTGCACATAACTGTGTCTTATAGTACCAAGATCCTCAAATGAACATACCACAATGTGAAATATTTTTCCTTCTTAGAGCGCATTTTCATTAAAACATCTCTGGATGCATTATTAAGGTTGCATTTATTACTAAAATACAAACTTGGGTTTGTATAGTGTATCATACACAGAAAACCAGTCTATCTCCGTTCTGCATGTGGTGTTGCTTTCATGATCCATATGAACACAAGCATCCACTTGGCAGTTTTAGACCTGATTATTTTTCCAGTAAGTGTTCTTGTCAGGCTTTCTCCAAGCTTTAATTACTGTGATTTTCCCTTGCTGCACACTATAATATTTGGTAAATACTTTCAAACTGCCAGCATGAAAACAGCAGGAGTCTTCAGTTTACATGAAAGTTTTTTGACAACTCTACAGGAAAATTACTCTATGACAGAATTTGGCTATGATGGTAAACTTGAATTGGATTGAATTTTGAATTGATATACCTTTATTAGTTCTACAAGGGGAAATTTCATAAGGCTGCCGACCTATTGCACGCAATGGCGGCGCCATCTTACCATCAGACCATACATACATTACACAAAA